TGCTCAGATTTCGAGCCTTAGGGTTCCAGAGTAAGGTTTAGGGGTTTAGGGGTTTAGGTTTTAGGGGTTTAGGGTTTAGGGTTTAGGGTTGTGTATTGCTTTGGGTTTTGCTCTTCCAACAGAAGACATGGGCCGGCCCTCCTTGCCCGAAGCGTGTTGACTTCGGGGTGTGGCGTAGGATTCAGGATAGCGGCAAGTCAGATGCAGATCCCGCCCTTTCGGAAGGTATGTTGGCTTCGGGCTTAGAGTTTTGAGTTTCGCGTTGCTCAGGCCCCGTGGTTAAACCCTCCTACTCACATGATGTGGAGCAGTGTTTGGACGTGGAGTGTGTTGGTGGGTGGGGCTTGTTCGGCCAGTGCTTGCATTGGGGCTTGTCCCCCGCCAGGACGTCACCGTGGTACCCACGAAGAAGATGGATGAGATGCAATCCTTCGTGATGGCTGAGACCTTCAAATATCTGTATCTGCTGTTCTCGCCCAATGAGGCCGGGGCCGGCAGAAGGCCATTCTCATTCTTCTTCTTATTCCTATTATGGGTTGTGGAGCCTCGTCTAGAGGCCCTTAACGTCGAAGCTCTGACCTGCGAGTTTCCGATGCCCGAAGCCCGAATGGCCCAAGTGCATCGGCTAGGTCCCTCAAGTGGGACCAGTATCCTTCCCTCTTAGGGTTGTAGGGTTTTGGGTCTTAGGGCGTTGGGCTTTAAGGTATTAGGGCTTTAGTGTTTTAGGGCTTGGGGTTTTGGATTTTGTGTTTTGGGGTTTTTGATATCTTCCTATCCAACTTTAATCGACGCGGCTACTGGGAAACCAAGCCGAAATGAGCACTAATACGCCTCAAACATCAGACGATCCACCCTTTGAATTTACATGGCAGAGATTCCTAGTACAGCGGCTTCAATAATTCTCGTTATTGTTTCGTTGGGTGCTTAGTTCTTTGTAGCATGATCGAGCCCGGCATCCGATTCTAATTCTTAGGGCCCCTTGTCAACTTGTGCAAAACCTGCGCACTACTCCTTTTTGTACCCCTGGTAGGCCCCCGCTGTTCTAAAAAGGCCACACTGTCTTGAAACCCTTTTTCCGGTGCTTCACTTTCATCTCCGTAATTAGGGCCCTTCACTTCGGCTTCAGGGGTTTAGGGTTTTAGGGGGTTGCCAACTTTCTTTCGGGTTTCAAACGCCGTGTGGAACTGCCTAGGACCTAGGAGCATTTTTTTCCCAAACCCTGCAACCTCAGCCCAGAGAGCCCAATACCCCTTAAGGGAAGATAGCTTAAACCACAATATTAAGGCCCCTACAATCTAAGCTATATTCCTGAATTAAACCCTAAACCCTAAACCCTAAACCCTAAATAAGGGGTATTGGGCTCTCTGGGAATGCCGTGCCAGGCCTTCGATTTGGACCGCTACGTTCTGAATACCGAGGTCGGAGCTCGGCAACTTCGGGGCCGAGCATTTTGACCCCTTTTTGAGCTTTTTGGGGTTTAGGGTTTAGGGGTTTAGGGGTTTAGGGGTTTAGGGTTTAGGGTTTAGGGTGTTCGGGCTTCAGCATGGTTTAGGGATTTTAGGGTTTAGGGTTAAGGGCCGGACTTGAAGTTGGAAGAGATGATGGGAAGGACTTGTCGTTTGGCAAACCTAAGCCTCAAAATTCGGAGATTGTGCACGGGTCGATTTTGTTTCAGAGCTGGGAGCATGGAGTCCAGCTGTCCCGCGGCAAGTTCAAAAGCTCAAGCCACAGGCCATTGTCCATGCAGTTTGCGCTTTCATGTCGGGTAATTACATGCTTCAATCTTGTGGCTTAGGCTTAGCATCCTGAGTAGGATGGGCCCGGATAGGCGCGGGCAGCAATGATTGCTGCAAACTGCAAGGCACGGCTGCCTCTTCGAGGTATCCCCCAGCGGCATGCGCTCCTGGAGTCACGTTTTGCCGCGATTGGAAGCAGGGATCTCCACCCGGCTTGCAAGCTGACAGGACTAGGTGCCGCAGTGTGCGCTGCATTTCGCTGTCAGGGAAAGTTTCGATCGAAGCAGCGACGAACAACGGCTTGTTCCGAAGCCGACACATCGCGGTGCAAAGTGGTGACTGAACTGGTTGTGGATGGAGATATGCCCTCAGTAGACCTAGTACTTGCAGCTGTTGACCACTTGAATTCTCAGTCTATGCAGGTGCAGACAACAATTTTCGCCGAGCCTGGAAGGATGAAAAAGAAAGCGTGGAAAGATCTGGTAAGCCGGCGTGGATTTGAATTCAAGCCGGTGGTACGCCGCCATGGCATGTACGAGGAACATGTTGATCGAGCGGTGAAGAAGCATTTGGGCAGCTTAGCCACCACTACTGGTACAGTTCACGTAGCGCTGCTCACGGCAGATGCTGGCTTTGTCCAGGACATGCGGAAGATAGTCCTGGCAGGGAAACAGGCTAAGATTTTCACGCTGACGCAGTATAGTGGGGTAGCGCAAAGATACAAGAAGGCCGGCGTTTTGGTTGTGCCACTGGACTCTGACAACAAGATCACATACAAGGTAAGAGCCGTCCTCGAGCCTGACGGCACAGGATTTGTGCAATGCTGCAGCCCTATCCCTCACAGAGCATTGGACAGAGAAGTTGCGGTTCTAAAGGAATTCATGTCAAGCTCGGGATATATGCCTACTGGCGATGAGTTCTTGCCGTCATGCATCGCCAAGTGGTGTTTCACGAACTCTGTAGGCCCAATTACAGTGTATCCGGCGACTTCCTGCTATTTGGAGTCGTATCAGTTCGTCACCGCAGGCTTGGCACGAGAGGCACAACAGGACGTTGCATTTTTTCTTCCTCTAGGGTGCCTTGCACCGCGTGGACGTAAAAAAAGGAAAATCATGGACCAGTACGGGTCCTGGCGTGGCTGGAGCATGTCTCGCGCTGTAGGCCCCTTCGTGTTAACTCGTTCCTCTGATCTGGTCAGCGAGGCTTTCAGACGGCTGGGCTTCCTGGACAGCCAACTAAATTCAGATCTGTCTGAAGCAATGCTGGTGTTTGCGAACGTGGGCATGAATAAGAAGATGCTTCGAAAGATGGGAGTGCTCCCTGAAAAAGGCGAGCCCGCCAGACAGCTGGAAAACAAGTTCAAGCAAGCCTTCCTCTCCAGTTGCAGTACTGGACAGTGGCTGGTGCCCCCATCGGATGCCCAGATTCGCAACAAGTTTGCGTGCACAGGTCGTATTACCGATGAGTCTGCGTCGAGGGAAGAAGTCTTCGCTGCGATGCAGGAATACTCGAAGAAAAAAGGTTTTCCAAGACTGACGACCTACAACGGCCTTGCCTCTCAACTTCTGCAGCACATCAATCGCAAGGACGCCAGGCGCAGGGACGCAGTTCATCTGTAGATGCATTCGGTACGGCTGTTATCCAGCGGTGGAAGTCTGCCACAGCTTGAGCAAAGAGCACCAGGAGGGCTGCAGTAGTTCTTTGCCCCAGCATCGGGGTTGCGAACAATGGACCGAAGTTTGCGATTCAGGGAATCCCTTTTCGTCCCACGAAAGAAGTGGTTTGTTGGTGATGAGCCTCTGATTGTGTGCAGCAGGAGCGTTCAGAATCTCTGGCGTCACAAGAACGCGATGGGCATTGCGTTCCTTCTGGAAGCCATAGTAGACTCGCCCTTCCACAGCTCAGAACTGAATCTGTGTTTTTTCGACCATGCTGCGGACATTTAACTCCGTGAAGACAGGCTTAGGATCCAAGGGTGGATGCAGCATCGCGTTTCAGGAGGACCCTAGGGTAGCCCATCATTCACCGTTGACTTCCTTGGTGCCGGCTTCTTGAAAATTGCTAGGCACATCCTTCCAAAACTTGACCCATCGTCCCTCGGTCTATGACTCTATGAAAACAGCCGAGGGCTTCGAAGCTTTGAGTCCGAAAGCGAACATCATGGAAGCTCTTGCCTTTGCCAGGGCCACCCGCTGCGGAAGCTGACGCCGTGGTAGAAAGCAGGTCGAAAAGGTGTGCTGTTGGGGCCTCAACTTAGTTCTCCAAAACCCAACCTTTAAACTTTTTTGGGCTCTTATAGTTTAGTAGTAACCTGAAAGTTTAACCTTTTATTTCCTTGGCTTATTGGGGAAGTAAGTCAATAATCACCAATTTGGGATTCTTGCAAGCACTCTTGTCGATTCTTTGGTCCTTCGGGAGACTCAGAGATGAGGCACGGTAGGAGTGGCTGCAGAGCCTTGAAGGTTTAGGGCTTAAGGTTTAGGGATTAGGGTTTAAGAAAGGAGCCTAAATCGTTTCCAATACTATTGTGGTGGTGCGTTACTAAAAATATAGTAAAACGGGTCCCAAAACCCTATTCTTAGCATTAAGGCCCCTGTATTAGGGTTTAGGGTTTAGGGAAAAATTGGCGGCTCAGGGGATTCGGTAAGTAGGATTACATCGACTTAAAACCCAAATCAAGGTACCTCTAACCCCCCACTTACTAAATCCCCTGCCGTAAACCCTACACCCTAAACCCTAAACCCCAAAACCCTAAACCCTAAACCCAAAACCCCAAAACCCTAAACCCCAAACCCCAAAACTCTAAACCCTAAACCCTATGATCCTCCAAGCAGGCCTAGCATAGCACCGGTGCAGAAGGCCGAAACTTGGTTTAGCTGCACGCAATGCTAGGGTTTAGGGTTTAGGGCGTAGGGTTTAGGGTTTAGGCAGTTAAGCACGACCTAGCCCAAGTCGACAGGCCCACACCCTGAGCCGCAAACGCTGAATTCCCTAACTCATCCTTTCATCGGTAATGGAGGGGCCTTTTTAATTGGAATAGGGTATTGGGGGTATATTATACTATACTTATAATAAGGAACCCCCAAAACTCTATTCTAATTATGAAGGCCCCTACACTAAGCCACTCGGTTTCAGATTTTTGGTTGGTTTCGGGTTTAAACTGTCTTCTCGAAGCTCGGCAGACTTACACCAGTAAAAGTTAGGGCTTAGAGAATCTCAGCGACAGGGGCGGGACTTTGGTGTTGAAGGCGTAGGGGCGTTACTTCAGGGACTTTAGTGTTGAAGGTGTACCTTGGAGTTTAAGATTCATCTCAGCGTATGGTGATTTCGGTCTCAGGGTCGGGAAATCTGGTGACATCGTACAGGTCCCTCATCTCCTGAGCTCTGCAGCTTTAGGATGCGACGGGGTCCGGGCTTTGAAGGGTCCACGGTTTGGGGTTCCTGTCTTGCTCTGGAGTAGTTTGCTGCTTGCGCCTTGACGGCGGCTTCTTAGAGGAAGTTCCCGGAACTGTGATAGAAGCCCATGTGTTGGCTCTCTCGGCTGTTTCAACGTTCTGTCTTCTGCAAAGCAATTCCAGTCGCTTCCCGTCTTTGGGAAATTTCCCTTGACATTTTAGGAGCCCGTCATGAAGATCCCGAACCCAAAAAGGGAGCTCTAGTCAGTTGATGGAAGGGCTCTTCTGCTTCTGGATGCTTCTGCAAGCCTCGAGCCCCCATGGACGACTTGCAAGCCGGAGGTGCCAGCTCTGCCAGGCCCTAAGCCATAAACGCCCAACCCTGAAACCCTAAGACCCGAAAACCGTAAAGCCCTAAAGCCCTAAACTCTAAAGCCGAAGCCCTAACGCTAAGCATAAGCTAGAAGCCCAAAAAAACCAAGCCCGAGATCCGAAGAACTACCCAGACCTCTCATCACATCCCTCATGGAGCACCCACGAAGATGAAAAACAAGTGGTTTAGGATAGGGATCCATGGAGCACGAAGGAACCGGTGCTCTAAACCTGACACTCCCAACCTGGACCCTAAACCTTAAACCCTAAACCCTAAACCCTAAACCCTAAACCCTAAACCCTAAACCCTAAACCCTAAACCCTAAACCCTAAACCCTAAACCCTAAAACCCTAAACCCGGCCCTCAACCTCCCTAG